TGATTCATTAACTTATTGAAACAATTGCTATATGCTGATGAAACAAATCGCTTAACTCCTGGCAAATTAGACTTTTCAGGATGGGCAAAAAACGAGAAGAGAGTTACAGTTTTCAGTTGTTTTCATATCAGTAACATTAAGTAGTGCATGTATTTGCGGTGTATAATAATCATTGTTTTCTTCGAGTGCTTTGTGGTCTCAACTGATCTGTTGTCGTTTCAGTTCAATCGCTGAGACTTTCTGATAATCAAGCTGAGACTTCTCGTCGACCACGCTTCTGTAATCTACCAAAGGTGACCGGTCGGTGCAGGTCAGTCAGTTGTTGTTCATGAAATCAGAGAATCTTAATTAATTACCTCATCTTCAAGCATCACTATCATTACATTAAAAAAAAGTACTATCCGAAGATGACAGGATGATATGACTGCGTAGGTGATACAAATGGACTTCTTAACATGACATATAGTTGAATCACTTTGCTCTGCTGTTCACTAACGATATGATTCTGATAATGATCATTGTTTTGATCAATTATATGATTTCTGCTAAGATTTCTGCAACGATTTCGCATATTATCATAATCTCATCGATATCATAATTATCACACTCTGATTGTGTCTGTGTAGGGCATCAATCGACCAGTACTACTTTGTTCCGAGTATCGGCGATTGTGTGTTTTTCGTATACGGTGGATGTGAAGGAAACGAGAATCGTTTTGATTCACTTGAAGAATGTCGCCAAAAATGCCGAGCAGATGTCCAATCGCACCCCACCGTAATAACCCTTTCACTGTTTTGTTGATACCTCCTTGGCCGATTATGCATTGATCAAAAAATTTCATGTTGAATCAGTTTTGAGAAATTCGAATGATTTTATATCACTGCCTTATTTTTTCAACACATTCTATCCTGTTTCATTGATATATTGAATATTGAACCTACTTGACTTGAAATCGAAAAAAACATCGATTTTCATAGCGTTGTGAAAGTTTCAGAAATAATCTACGAGAACTTTCAGGAGTCGCTAAGTCTTGATAGACCCGCAGAGGAACTCGATGGAATGGACAATGAGATTGGTGACGAAGAATATAAGGAAACGAATGAAATATCGCGCGATTTTGACTATGAGGTACTGTTTCGTTTCAAACAATCTGTTCACCTCATTGGAAATCTTTTAGAATTTGTTTTCGTTGACATCACTTGCAACAGCAAATTAAGGTTTTTGGTCAAAAAATTTTTAGCTTACTGCCACTCTTAATATCGGTCGAATCGTGGCAGTATGCTTGCAATTTCCCGTTCTATTTTGATGATCAGGATAGATCAAAACTATCAATGACTTTTGTCAGATGTACAAATTTTATT